ACTTGCTGCTGTAACTGTTCCTGTTGCTGCTGTAAGAGCTGTTGCTCTTGTACTTGCTGCTGTAACTGTGCCTGTTGCTGCTGTAACAATAGTTGCTCTTGCACGTGCTGTTCCTGTAGCAGTGCCTGTTGCTGTTGTAACAGCTGCTGTTCTTGTACTTGTTGCTGTAACTGTTCCTGCTGCTGTTGCAAAAGTTGTTGCTTTTGCACTTCCTGCTGTAACTGTTCCTGCTGCTGTAACTGTTTCTCTTGCACTTGCTCTGGTACCTGTCCCTGTTGTTGTATTACCTGCACTTGTGGTTTCAGTTTTTGGTGTTGCACAGATTGGTGGTTTTCCTGTAGCTCCAGCTGTAGTTGAGGCAGATGCTGTTGCCCATCCTGCTGTTGCTGCTGCTGTTGCATTTCTGGCTGATGTTCTAATAGTTGCTTCTGTGGTTGCTGCTGTTGAGGCTGCTCCTGCTGGGGCTGTTCTTGCAGCTCTGGCTGCTGCTCTAGCTGTTGCAGTAGCAGCTCTTGTTGTCCTGGCTGGGCTTCTTCAGCAATGTTACTGGCCCCTACTGGGGCTGACACTGATGGCTGTTGTGGGCCACTGCGCCCCTCCTGAGCCTCTTCCTCCTCCTGACTCTCACTCCCACCGCTGCCACCTGTAGTGGAAATGGCAGGAAGCTAGGAGAGAAGGATCTATAGGAAGCTCTCTAGTCTAGCCCTCTAGGACCTGCCCATATACAGTCACTCAAGGACACACTAACAAGTTCTCAGCAGGGACCCAAAAATGTTAGATCAATTGATAATAGCAGCATGACAGAAACTGAAATGCCAGGGGTGGGGGATGTCCAAGTGACCATTGGTCACTATACTCTAGACCCCCCCCGACCCCTCCTCTGGGCCTCCCTTCACACAAGCTCCATGGTTAGATCTTGGCACCAATATTAGCATGGGTGACTGGGGCTCCCAACATCATTCCTTCAGGAGTCCCTTGCACTTCACTGTCCAGTGGAAATCCCAGCAGCCATTCCAACAGTCCAGCTCATGCTCAACTCTGACCTCAGTGACGGTCACATCTTAAATAAATGAAACTTGCCTTCTCTGTAAATAATAAAACATTTCTGTAAAGCTGCCTAGAAGGACTACCACAAGTAGTTTCTAGAAATCACCAAAGTATCAGAGAGACTATCAGGTTTCAGGTGGGAAGTCCTCATTTGAGAACCTAATTCTTCCAGTTCAACTGTTCAACTTCCTACAGACTCAAAGGCCCTGCATGTTCCCCAGAACCCAGCAGGTGCTTGAAAATTACCTCTCCCGACAGGTTAGGAATTAGTCTATGGAGTAACAACAGTTCGGAAATACTCAGGATACAACTAGCTCCATTTGAAGCACCTAAAGACCAAATAGAAAGGAATGGAAAGAACTAAGAGCCCCAAGTCAACACAAAGGCTGGCCAATTAGTTAACTGCTGGGAACCTCAGTTTCTCCTTTTGCAAAAAGAGCTATACCCTCAGAGACACAGTGAGAACTGGGATAAATATAGAGCCCCAGTGTTGTGCGAGGCRCAGAGGAAATCTTGCACATACAGGAGCACACTGGCTATGTTCTGCCTTCAGCACAATGTCCACATTCAGCTTCTCATTCTGAATATTACTGTTGTGCTATCAGAAAATCCTAATTCTTCTTTATAAGTGTGAGTCAAGGAGCTTTCTCCACCTCAGACTGATTTCAACACGTGTTCTTCCTACAGCATCATATTTTCAATCATGAAATGGAAAGCAATGGTTTGATTGATAAAATTTTACTTTCTGAGGGCTGGGGTTGTAGCTCAGGGGCAGAGCCCTTGCCTTGCATGTGTGAGACCCTGGGTTCAATCCTCAGTACCACATAAAAATAAATTTTATTTATTTATTTATTTATTTATTTATTTATCGTCCATCTACAACTTAAATAAATAAATAAATTTTACTTTCTGGCCACTTTTCCAGGAATATACTGATTTAATAAAAACATAGGATATTTACATATTTTACATTTAATAAAAACAGAGGATATTTGCATACATATAATTCCTTTTAGAAAAATATTTTTAACAACCCTTGCTTAGTATAATAGGTCAATGACAGCCCTTTCCTTAGACACTCACACCAATTGGGGGTTCTCTGATGATGGATGAAGACAGCCATGAAAACCTGTCCCTATAGCAGGACTGAAGTCTCTTAGACACCCCCTTCTCCCACCTCCTCTGGAAGCCACAGATCATACCTCTGTGTGACTCTCCTCCTTTCTAGCTTAGCTACTTAGCCACTGTGACTTCCTAGGGCAGCATTTTTTTTCACCTTTAATAGAGACACTTTAGTAAATATGTAGTTACATGTTGCCTGACATGTATAACCTCATAAGATTTTTTGTCAGTTCAATGTATAAGTCAGAAGAGTCCCTGTTTAGTGTACTTGYCCCCATTGTCCCAGGCCCTACTCAGGTCCTTAAAGCACCCAACAGGAAACAGTCTCATGAGTATGGCCACCATAGAAGGCTCACCCAGATGGGTCCCAGAGGGAGAGCTCTTGGAAGATTTGGTGAAGCCACATTTTTGCCTCTGAGCATCAGGTAGAGAAAAACATAGGGAAGCAGAGGTCAGGAGAAGTGGACAAGGAGAGAAACCTCAGGGAAGGGAGCGAGCATCTGAGGCACAAGCTGCAGAGGAGGAATGGCTTTCTGTTCCTCAACTCCTTTTGGGAACCAGAGCAGGGTGCAGGGTGGCCCCACACACAGTGGGACAGTGGAGGTCACTGGGCTGCTGGGGCAACTGAGCAGCAGAGTCAGGCCAGCATATAAGTGGGGGTCAGGGCAGAGGCCATCAGTACTTCCAGGGTACCCCTCATAACAAGAGAGCAGCCTGATAGAGATGCCMAAAAAAATTCCAGGACAAACCTGCAGTTGTTATTCAAGGCATGGAAGCTAGCAGGTGTGAAGCAGTGCAGGGGGATGGCTGCCCTGGGGCATCTCTGTACCGGCACACCTGGGCATCTCTGCACCTGCATACCTGGGGCATCTCTGTACGAGCATACCTGGGGCTCTGTCAGAAGGTCCCTGCTAGGAGCCTCTGCCTCCAGCACTCACCTGAGAGGGCAGCAGGCCCTGGACCCCCATCCTCAAGACAGCGCAGCTCCAACACAAAGGTCTCTGTGGCTGGCCCCACCTCCATCCTGGTGGTCACACCGGGGTCCCCAGGAGCCGGCTGTGCTGAGAAGAAGGAAAGAAGCTGTTCAGATAGGAGGTGGTTGCAGYTCCTGGTCCCTGTTGCTGTGCAGAACAGCTGGCAGGCCAGCTTCTTCTGACTATTATTCACAGGATTCCATCTTCACCTGATCAGGCTGCTCCTAATTGAGACACAACTGTGGGGATTAGCCACTCACAAAGGYTGGGAGCTAGAGCCACAGAAGAAGCATTAGGGGTCCTCTTGGACCATCTAAGTCACGTTCCCTGACCGCTTCAAACATGGGCCTGTTGGTCTCCAGGGACTCCAGTGTCACAGTCTGCTCTGGGAGCTCACCAGCTCTCTGGAAAGGCAGGTGCCCAGAGCACTGTAAGCCATGGCAGGGCGGCCTGCCTGTCTGTGCTCCTCAGAGGTGGCCTCCTTGCAGAGGTGGCCCCACATCCAGGCCTCCCTTYCCCACCCAGATTGCCTCCAGCTCCCTCTGGCCTGTCAAAGTCAGCCCAACCCTCCTAAGAAGGGCGTCTGGGCACCCAGCGTGAATTCCCCTGGGCCTCACCTGGTACAGCATTTCCTGCTGGCTGCAGCCTCTGCACTAGGGGAGGTGTGGTCAGCAGAGGCTGCAAGGTGAAGGCCACAGCATTCAGCCGGCTCCTTCCGGAGGCGCCTCCATCCAGAAAGAGCCTGGGAGGCGCCTGCCACCCTGGGGCCTTTCTGGGCACTCGGCAGGGTTTGCGCTGTCAGAGATGCCCAGGTCGCCCTGGGCCAAGACAAGGGGYAGAGTGGAGTTCCCGGGCAGAAGTTAGTGGAGACTCTCGGGCGGGGGCGAGGACAGGAGGCAGAGCCCCGAATTCCGCGCGGGACTCAAGGCTGGCCCTGCGGGACCATCGCGCGCAGCAGGGCCGGGGCCAAAGCCCTAGGTTGGCGCTGCAGGGTGGCGGGGTCTTGGGTTGGCTGGGGACGGGCGACACAGGTCCTGGACGGCCGCCGGCCACAGGTGCCCAGAGCCCGAGGGCGGCCTGGACCGGGCCGCGATGGCCGGGGCGGGGGGCGGGCGCCACGGCCGGGCCGGGTCCCCGTTCGCTCGCCCGCCCGCCAGTGCGTGCGTCCGTGCGGGCAGCTGGCCGGGCCGGGGCGGGGGCGCGGGGGCCGGCACAGGAAGTCCCCCCGGCATCCGCATCCTGTCCCCCGCCCCTGCCGCCCGCTGCGCCCCCGCGCCCCGGCCCCCGCAGCCGCCGCCGCCGCCGCTGCCGCCGCCGCTCTAGGCCGCCACCWGCTCGGTGGGCTTAACCCTTCCCGGCCCGGCCACTCACCCGGGCGGGGGGATAAGATGCGCGGCCCTGTGTGTGTCCCGGGCCGCCTGGTGCCGAGCGCAGCGCGCGCTGTGCAGCATCCCTGGTGCGCGTATCCGCGCTCCACCGTTGGCCACTGTAGCTGCATGGATGCGGGGAAAGGGGGCTCCCAGCCAGGCCCCTGCTACCCACTGAAGGGCAGGCGTGGCCTCAGGACACCCCTGGCAAGGGTACAAATCATGGCTAATTGGCACTTAATTAGAAGAACTCAGTTAATGAGGAGGTCCCATCCTGGCCCCGGTAGGTCCCCAGAGAGGCAGACCAGGTTCACACTTTGGACCCCTTCTCCTGGACCCTGATTTGGCTAGGACAGGCAGGCAGATAAACAGCTGTAATACAAATGGACCCAATGGACCATCAGGACCACCCTTTGAACTGGCAGAGCTGGCTCATCCTTCTCTGTGTCTTTGCTCCCTTTCTCTAGTCACAAGATCCCTGTAGTCAGGCCCTCCTACCTCTCCCACCCTCTGCCCTCCTCCAGGCGCTTCTCTCCAGCTGTGTTGGGTCATGATCTTTGTGGCTTCTTTTTCTTTCCTGTCATGCCAGGCTGCTTCCTCTGTGGGTTATGGGTCTCCTCACAGGGAGTCCTGACCTGATCATCTCCATATCCCCTCACGTTATTTTCCTGTCTTCAGAACATAGACCTCTCCAATCTAGAGAATTCACTTGAAGATTGTGCTGCTCACATTCTCTAGAAAAACCCAAAGAGCTGGTAACGGGAAGCCTTTCCTGGAGTGGAGTGGGAATGCCTCACTGGAGAGAGTCAAGGGCTGTCTTGGAGTCATAGTCCTGCCTACCTTCCTGGCTCCCTACCTACAACACTATTGCACATGTGGATTCTTCCCAGTACCCAAAGGCATGGGAGTTTGGGGTTTGTCCAGTGGCTCTTGCCTGAAAACCTTGTGCTCACAGCTCCAGAGGACAGAGGCTCACATTGGATTCATTGGGGGAACAAGTGCAGCAATAAGCACAATAACCTGGGCTTATGGGGACCTCCTGTAACTAGATAATTTGAGACAGGGTAATACCTGTCAGCCAGAGGTGCAAGCACAAGTGAGTCAACAAGGAGGATGTGGATAAAGGGTGGTTGCACACTTCCCTCCCCTGGGAGGGCCCAGGGTGAGGGAAGGCAGAGCTATCTGCTTCCTCCTCTGCCTAGGAGACTGCAGATTCCCCAGGACCACCTCACTCCTCCTATCTTTAAGCCTCTCCCTCTGCTGGATTCTTTCCAATAGCATTTTCACATCGTCAGGGCTCTCCCATCTTCAATCATGAAACCCCACCTATCTCTTCTCTAACCATTCCTCCTCCTCTGCCCCATCACTCCACCCAGACACCTCCCTGTAACCTCCATGTCTAAATCCCTCATCTTCTCCTGTCCAGAGTTCCTCTAGGCCACACTGACCTTCTACTGGGCTGCTGAAAGAAAAACACCTGGTTCTCTCCTCCTCTTGGTTGGTCTACCCCTTCTCTGTGGACTGTGCGTCCTTCTGTAGGTTCATGTTCACCTCTGCATAATTATAACATGCAGTAAGGGGGTCAGAAGGAAGCAACAACCGTTTTCTCTCTGTGAGTATTTCTCCTGTCCATTCCTGAGCACCTGACCCAACAGCCACATTTTTCTTCTTTTTTGTTTCTTTACTTTTTATCAAAGGTGATATACATACTTAGTTGAATAAGTCCAACAATTCTATAAGGCTTTTAGCAACAGCAACACAAACCTCTCCTCCCTTCTGCTTCCATTTCCATTTTTCCTGTGCTTTTGCCAYGTTTTTAAATAACATGCTTATAATGTTATTACTTGATTTTTTTTCCATCTTAGACAGTATCCATTAGAAGCTGAAGACAAATCTAAACCACATATCCATGGGCACACTTTCCCTCTCCTCCTGCTGTTGTATAATAAGGAATTTGTTTGTCGTTACCCTCTGTTCTTGGGGATGAGCTTTATGCCAAAGAGGCGACCCCTAGCAGGCCTTTAGGTAACTTCAGGATCAATCACACCAGAAAGACACTCTGTCTTTCATGTTAGAGGTTGAGGTGTTGAGCTGTGTGATATCAACCTGACYCCTGGTGAGAAATTGGGACTGACATTTTACTTTAATCATGTGGCCAATGATTCAATGCATATGCCTAGGTAATGAAACCTCCCACCCACACAAACAAAACAAAACAAAATTCTGGAGGTCAAGATTCCTGGCTGGTGGTCAACAGCAATGTGCCAGAGGGTGAGAATATGGAAGCACTATATTCAGGTCCCTTCCAGGCCTTACCTTATAGGTCACCTCATAGACCATGGCTGGTACTGGTTTATATTCTTTAAAGTAAAACTATAATCATAACATTGTGCTTTTCTGAGTTCTGTGTGTTGCTCTAGTGAATTATTAAACCTGAGTTGGTCATGGGAACTTCCAAATATGAAGCCAGATGGTTAAGAGTGGACTGGGCACTTGCAACTGGTGTCTAAAGTAATAGCAGGCTTGTTGGAATCTTCTACCTGGAGCCACCAGGTAGTGGAACCTCAGTCTGGCTGAGCCTAGAAAAGTCCAGCCAGGAAAACAGAAGAACTCTTAAATAATTACACAGAACACTGAACACAGATGGCTAAAAATATGTTAAAAGGGTTGCAGTACCACCAAGGGGAAGATGAGAATACTGGAAATTAGTATCCCTAGGACAAGAGGAGCAAAGAGGAAAAGTGATACTGTAGGGAATCACAGAGCTATTCAAGAAATTGCTGTATGTTGGGAGCGGCGGCAGCATGGTTGGAAATGGGAAAATGAAGCAAGAACCTAGAAGCCCACACTCACCAGCCATCACTGAAGGTGCCACCAGAAGCAAGAATTGTCCTACGTCCCAACCAGACTTCTGATCTCTCAGAATCTAGCCAGAAGTCAGCTAGCCAGGGAGTCCTGGAAATGTRGTTTGCAGYCTTCCAGTCTCCTGCCATATTGAGGAGAGCAGGAAGCCAAATCAAGAGGCAATGGATAAATAACTGGCATATTCAATGAGTCTGTAGAGTAGGGCCATTGGCAGCCCATTTGGAAATGTGGACATTTGGGGGCTAAGCTGCTGAGAATAATGCTGGAGCTACCACTGGTTATCTATTGGGAAGTAGATTTTCCTCCTTCTCCTCCTCCTTTTCCTCCTTCTCCTCCTCCTTTTCCTCCTACTACTCCTTCTTTTCCTCCTACTCTTCCTTCTTCTGATGGGGTCTTGCTGTGTTGCCTAGGCTGGGGTTGAACCCATCAATCTTCCTGCCTCAGCCCTCTAAGTAGCTGACTTCTTTAGTGCTCTTATTAAGAAAAGGTATCTGGTGAGTACCTCTTTGGGAACCATGTGATGATTAATTTTATGTATCAACTGGATTGGGCCATGGGGTGCCCAGACATCTGGCCAAACATTATTCTAGGAGTGACTTTGAGGGGGTTTCTGGATTAGATTAACAATTTAATCAGGAGATTGAGTAAAATGGATTGTTTCCCCTAATGTGAGTGGGCCTCACCAATCAACTGAAGACCTGAATGGAACAAACAGGCAGAGGAAGAACCTCTCCTGCTGACCAAGCTGAAACATAGTCTTTCATGAACTGAAACTTTTTTGTTTTTTCTTGGTCCTTGAATTTGCCATCTTTCACACTAGAGTTTTGACTCTGCATGTTCTCAGCCCTTACACTTGAACTATAACTAGACACTGGCTCTTCTGGGTCTCCACTTACCAACCGCAGATCTTGGTATTTCTCAGTCTCCACCATTGTGTGAGCCAATTCTCTGAAGAACACTGTCTGAAAAGTCTGTACTCTCCCACTTGACTGGGCACAGATTATTAGCACTTGCATGGCTTGATTTTAGCTTCCAGCATTGCTAAAGGGGGTATTGTGTGCCATTTGACTCCTGTTTTTTACATGAGAGAAGGAAAACCAGTGGGCCAAGAGGAAGACCCTGAGGGGAAGTGGAATGCAACAGACTTAGATCTGCACCTGGACTGTGGCTGTGGGGCTGTGGGAGGCTTACTGGAGGTGACACAGGTTTCTAATATGTTCTGGGGAGAGTGACAGACAGAACTGAGCAGCACTGGCTCTCCTATCTAGTATGTATATCAAATCATGCCCTGGTGGTGACCCAGTGCACAAATTTTGGGTATGATTCCTCAGACAACTCCCCGGTTTCTGTTCTTGGAGCATCATGTACCTGCAGCACTTTGCTACAGATTGAATTTTGTATTCCTCCAAATTTGTGTGTTGAAATTCTAACTTCCATGGTGATGGCATTAAAAGTTGGATCCTTTGGGAGGTGATTAGCTCATGGGAGCAGAACCCTCTCAAATGGGATTAGTGCCCTTGTAACAGAGGCCCAGAAGGGCCYTCAGTCTCTTTCCACCTTGTGGGGACACAGTAAGAGGATAGTAGTCTATGAATCTGGAAGCGGGCCTTCACCAGACTCAATCTACACACCTTGATCTTGGACTCCCCAGCCTCCAGAACCATGAGAAATAAATTTCTGTTGTTTGTTTAAGCTGTCCAATTTCTGGCATTTTTTGGTTTTGGTAGCAGCCACAATGAACTAATACACATTTCATGATTCTAATTTTGCAATCTGATTAGAGTCTGTCTCCCTCACGAGATACCAGATACACAAGTCAAGGAGTACCCAACGAGTGTTTATTGAATAAATTAATCAGTGAAACCAAATAGTCATGTTACATCTACTAATATAGCAAAAACTACACATCATAAGAGCCATCTCCTACCCCCAGTCCACAGAGGTGGGACATCTGGCCCACACTAAGCAGACCACCCTCTCCCACCACTATGAATCTGGAGCAGAGATATGTCAGACCAAAAGTTGCTGGGT